GCGCGGCCCCGCCTACCGGGGGGCGGGCGAGCGGGAGCCCGCAGCGCTCCCTGGCGGCCGTCCTGGGCCGGGCCGCGGGGCTCTTGCCGCGCAGAAGGCTCTCGGCCTGGCGCCCTCCGCCCCGCCCTGGCGCCGGGAACGTCCCCGGCACCCCCGACTTCGCGCTCTGGTTCCCTGGCTCCCCAAGCCGCCGTGGTGTGCTCTCTGCTCCAGTCTGGAGGCCCAGGAGTTTTTCTCACAAGACCCTACCGGCAACCCGAGTCTTGGCCCTGCGGTGCCTCCCACCACAATGCCTCCACCGGGGCTAACTCCTCCCGTCAGCGATTACATGCCCCCGAACCCCCCCCCCCCCCATAGACTTGGGGAAACAGGGGCGTGGAGATCTGGGGATTATATATGGCAATAGCCCCAGAGAGAAGAAAGACTCGTATCTCTACTGGCAGTGACATGAGTTGGGGAGAGAGGAAGTAGCAAAAGTGCTCAAACTGCCGAGAGAAATCTCAAAACGGACTCTCCAGCTGCAGAAAATCCCCCACAAAGAAGCTGGGACAGCCGGCAGCTGAAGAAGGCCTCCAAAGCCAACAGAAGAAGCACTTTTCGAATTCCCAATTACTCCATTGCCAGGTTAAGGTGGTAGGCCGGCTACACTTTAAAAGGCTCTACGGCTTCTCCCCAGAAAAGGGTGGGGGTGCTTCCCTTCCTGTATTGGAGAGGCCAGAGAACAGCCAATCAGGCAAGATCTGGATTGGAGGTCCTCCCAACCCAGAAAAGGAAAAGAGGAAAGAAAAGTGATGTTGAAAAATTGGTGCCATTTAGAAAAGGTGATCCAGCGTCTTGTTCAGAGCTCAGCAACTCAATATGTTCTAAGAGGGAATACATTTAGGAAGAAGTGTAGCAAGCTGGCCCCCTGTCAAGACAGAGATATAAAAACCCTCCTTTGCTCTCTAACAGTCTATGCCCTTCATTGCCTTTGGTGTCTTGATTCCCAACAGAAAGATACACAAGACATTGATACCAGTGCTTTTTCCTGGAAAGAGAAACTGGGGAACAGGGAATGAGGAATGAGGGGGGAAACTACCTATTACTATACACCTTTAATAATTTAACTTTTCAGGGGCGCCTGGGTGGCGCAGTCGGTTAAGCGTCCGACTTCAGCCAGGTCACGATCTCGCGGTCCGGGAGTTCGAGCCCCGCGTTGGGCTCTGGGCTGATGGCTCAGAGCCTGGAGCCTGTTTCCGATTCTGTGTCTCCCTCTCTCTCTGCCCCTCCCCCGTTCATGCTCTGTCTCTCTCTGTCCCAAAAATAAAAATAAACATTGAAAAAAAAAATAATTTAACTTTTCAGGGATGCCTGAGTGTCTCAGTCAGTTGAACCTCAGACTTTAGCCGAGGTCATGATCTCACGGTTAGTGAGTTTGAGCCCCACATGAGTTCCAGCCCCCTATAGGGCTCTGTGCTGACAGACTCCAGCCTGGAGCCTGCTTCAGATTTTGTGTCTCCCTCTCTCTCTGCTCTTCCCCTGCTCACATTCTCTCTCTCTCAATAAATAAAGATTTTTAAAAAAATTTTTAATAAAAATAAAATAGGGGCGCCTGGGTGGCTCAGTTGGTTGAGCGTCCGACTTCAGCTCAGGTCATGATCTCACAGCTCGTGAGTTTGAACCCCATGTCGGGCTCTGCTGACAGCTCAGAGCCTGGAGCCTGCTTCGGATATTCTGTGGCTCCCTCTCTCTCTGCCCCTAACCCACTTGCATTCTGTCTGTCTCTGTCTCTGTCAAAAATAAATAAACATTTAAAAAAATTTTTTTTAATAAAATAAATTAACTTTTTAATTACTTATTTTGAGAGAGAGAGAGCACAAGCAAGGGAGGGGCAGAGAGAGAGGGACAGAGAGAATCCCAAGCAGCTTCTGCGCTGTCAGCATAGAGCCTGACGCAGAGCTCAAACTCATGAGCCCTGGGATCATAACCTGAGCCGAAATCAAGAGTTGGACACTTAACTGACTGAGCCATCCAGGTGCCCCTAATTTTTTTAATTTTTACCATATTGAAAATAAAATTTACAATATTACTTAAAACTTACCTCTTCCAGGAAGTATTCCCCAGTTAACAGGTTCTTTCTCTTTTGTTGGGCTTCCTTAACATTTACATATTTAATTTACACTGTAGAAGTCAGGTTTAAACTGCACATCTTGGGGCGCCTGGGTGGCTCAGTCGATTAAGCGGCCAACTTCGGCTCAGGTCATGATCTCGCGGTCCGTGAGTTCGAGCCCCACGTCGGGCTCTGTGCTGACAGCTCAGAGCCTGGAGCCTGTTTCAGATTCTGTGTCTCCCTCTCTCTCTGACCCTCCCCTGTTCATGCTCTGTCTCTCCCTGTCTCAAAAATAAATACAAATAAATAAATAAATAAAATAAACTGCACATCTTTGTTGCTCATTTCACCTTTTACCTTTGACATACAAGTGTCCAACATTTCAGAATAGATTTTAAACTCCTTCTTAGCCAAAGCCAACACAGGACTGTATATTGCTTTGGGTTTGTTTTGGTTTTCTATGAAAAAAGATTTGAAGCTCTCTAAAGGCAAGGGTATACATTATTCTTTGTAGCTCTAACAGAGCAGGAACAGGCACTTAACATTTTTTTTAAAGTTTATTTATTTATTTTGAGAGAGAGAGAGAGTGAGCAGGGAAGTTGCAGAGAGCGAGGGAGAGAGAATCCCAGGCAGACCCTCTGCACTATCAGCACAGAGCCCTATGCAGGGCTTGATCCCACAGACTGTGAGATCATGACCTGAGCTGAAATCAAGAGTCAGATGCTTAACTGACTGAGCCTCCCAGGCACTCCTAAGCACTTGACCTTTGATGAGGAAGAGAAAGATGAGGTTGAAGCAATAGAAACTGAAAGTAGCTGGAGATCGGATGGGTATGTGTGTTGGGACATATTGACTTGACTATTAGACCCTTCCAGGAAGGGCTAAGCTAGGATATGACCCAGAGGATGGGGAGGAGGGGACTATGTGGCCTCTATTGCCTGAAATAGCTCTTGGTAACCTGAGGAATTGGAGTCAGGGGTTGAGCTGGGGTCACGTGCCTGGTTCTGGCACCCGAGTAGAGGTGAACAAGGGAGGTTGCCAGCCGGGTTCTCTGAGCAGCTGGAAGGAGGAGGAAGGGCTACAAGAGTTATTTTTAATATTATTCAGAGCAGAGAAAGAGGATTTCCCAGTAGGGAAAAAAAGGGATATGATGTAGGTAACACAGATACGTCCAAATTTCAGGGAGATACAAAAAATCTGAGAGGAGGCCGGAAGTGGTAGCAAAGCCCTTCTATGAAGACAGTCCTGTGATCCAACTACTGAATTCACATTTGGGTAACTCTACGCAGATACCTGCCTGTTTTTAAGCCTCAGTTTTCATTCTTTTAACAAATGCTGATTGAGGACTCAACCATTGTTGAATACATAGTACAGCCCCATAGTAACTTGTTTGGAAGTAAAACATAGAGGTGTCTATTTTTGTGGAACTTAGAAGAACATACATATACATATGAAACAACTAGAGAATATAGGATACACGCTATTTTACATGGCATTATGTGTTTGGAGTAATGTTCAGGGATGGGTTCAGTCAAAAGAGGGTCTTAGAGGAGGTGTGTTTTGAGTTAGTACTTGAAGGCAGGTATCAATGTAGAATGACAGGGAAATGGCAGGAAATTGGTTGTTCAAGTACAAAGAATGAACTAGGAAAAGTTTAAATGGCAGTAATTAGCTAATCTAATTAGTAGGGGGACAATAAGCAAATTGACTTGGCAGGCCTATTGTACCTTGGGGATTCTGTGGCAGTTAACTCTAAAAGAATAGTGTTAATGAGGTCACAGTTCAGTCATGTATCCGGGTTAATTTCTGTCTTTTACCAAGCCAGATCCTTTCTCCTCACTCTATGCAGCTGTCTCACATGTGTAAGTCCTTAGTCAGAGGGAGTGGGTCGGGACAAGGAAGCAGGGCTGGAAAGAGTAAATCTGTCCCTGAAGGTCACATGGCCATCTGAAAGTGGCTCCAGATTATCATCTTTGAACTGCAAGGAGACACTGTATCCTGGTGGTGGGGGCAGGGGTGCTGAGGGTAAAAGAAATGTTAGAAGAGAAAAAGAGGCAAGATCATTCA